GGGGAGGGGCTCCGAGCGCCTCCGAGCTTCTGTGGCCTTTCACAAGCTCCGCCCAGAGGCCGGACTCAGAGCCCCCGCCCCTCAGGAGTAGCCCAGTGCACTGGGCTCCCAGAAAACCTGAACAGCTGGACCACTCCCGCCCGGACGCCCTGACTCCCGGGCTGCTTCCTGGGACTGTGGGAGGTCTCCCACCCTCCCCCTGTCCTCAGTCCTGGCAAGCCAGCCCAGCCCCCTCCCCTGAGAGCCCCAGGAGCCAGAGGCAGCCCCTGATCCCCCTGCCCCCCGGGCAGCTTCGCAGGCTGTGGCTCCTCTCCCCGCCTGCCCCCCAGCACAGGGCAGTGGCTCCCCCGGCCCCCTGCCCCGCGCTGCGGCCTGGCCCGCCCTCCACGCCCGTCTGTGGCCGTGTCCTCTCCTTGGAGTGACTTTGCAGTTAATTCCCCACGACATGCTCATCTTGTTGCCACTGGACTCTCCCGGCTGCGGAGATAGCTCTAGAATTGAGCGGTCCCTATGCTGCCCCCCCGCGCCAGCAAGCCAGGCCCCGCCCACTGCTCTCACTTGAAAGGGCCGGGCCAGGCCGGAGTCCCGTTTGGGTGGCTGCCTGAAAGGCCTGCAGCTGGCCAGCCCCAGTGACCAGGTCACCTGGCCTGTCACCTGGGCTTGGGGCTGTCCCCAGAGGTGGCTGCATCCCCTCTGGCTGCCCTATCTTTGTTCCCATCTCCTTCGTTTGGGGCCTGTGGTCAGCCTGCCCGTGGGGGTTGGGGTGCACCACGCAGGCCTCCGCCTTCCGTCTGCCCTGGCTTCCCGCTTTGGCCCCCCCAGTGACCTGAGACGTCGTCAGCCGCCCACGCTGGCCTCTGTGTTCCCTCGTGCTTTCCCTGCTCGGACCTGGGGCTGTGAGCTCTGCCCACCCGCCTCCTGGGGGTCCCTCCACCTCCACGGGCCCCCGCTTTCTGTCTGCTGAGCGTTCTTCCTGCTGCCTGACCACCCCCACCCCCTGCCCCAGAACCAGATAGGGGCCTAAGGGCCCGCTCCCCGGACTGGCCATCAGTCTCCCCTGCTGCACCCTGTCCCCAGCCTGGCGGTGGTCCCAGGTCTGGGGCGGCCAGCTGCTCACTCCGCCCCCAACCACAGAGCCAAGGTTTAGAACCCACATTGCCCACGGCAGTGCTGAGGGCACCGGCTCTGTGTGCCCGTCGGTCCCAGCACAGGCACCTGCTAGGTGGGGAGCTCACATGGGCGGGGGCACCTGGCAGGCCCCCTCTGGCTGGGCTGCGTCCACCTAGGCCCTCCTGGGAAGGCCCCAGCTGCTGGCGGAGCACTATGGCGACGGGCAGTGTGGCCTCACTCATTGAGGGGCCGTGTCCTGCATCTCGTCTGTGTTCTGGGACCTCTCTCCAGGGGCCGGGGGTATTGAGAAATACCTCACCACACCCCCCGGGCCGGTCCAGGGGCCTCTCAGGGTCGAGGGGCAGCTCTCTGGGGCCAAGACATCTGTACCCTCGGATGGCACTGATGGCCCCGTGGTGGCTCCAGGGACAGGGCTGCCCCAGGTCACACTACCCCTTGCGGCTGTGGGAACAGCTGCTCTGGACAGTCGAGACCTGCGTGCCCACCTGGAGCTGGGGACCTTCCTCCCAGGCCTCGGGGAGGAGAGCGGCTCCTGGTCTGGGGCGAGTGAGTGACAGCAGCGACGTGTAGCAGGTGCCATGCTGGTGGGGCGTTCACAGCTTCACTCAGACGAGTGGGTCGCCAGCGTCTCCGCCCTGATTATGCCGGCCACTGCTGCCGCTGCCCCGGGCCTCCTCCCTGACCGGGCCCCAGACCTCACCGGTCTGCTTCCTGTCCCCATGTCCCGCACACAGGCTAGTGCAGCAGGTAGACACAGGCAGAAGGGCTGGTCCCTGTCCTGAGTGAGCTGATGGGGCCCCAGTGTTGATATGGGGGGCGGGGTCAGAGGAGGTCAGTGGGGGGCCTCCAAGCACATGTTGGGGTATGAGGGGTGAGGGCTAAGAAAGGGGGAGAGGAGCAGACGGATACCTGGGAGCAAGCCTGGGGACACGCATGGGTGACAAGGCTCCCAGGAAGCCACACTGAGGAGCCCCACTAGTGTTGAATGGGGGGAGGGGAAATAGGGGCATGGCGAGGCGCCCCCCAGCGGGGATGTCGGGGGTTGGTCTCAGGGCTGCACAAGCCTTGGGGTGGCTAGGAGGGTAGCAGCGGCCATGCCGGCAGGTGGGCTCTCCAGATGCAGTGTGGGGGTGTGCAGAGCACTGGGGGGTGTGTTGCATGGCTCGGTGACCACTCCCCCTCTCTGGGGACAGGCTGTGCATGGATCTGAGCCCAGGCAGCCCAGGAGAGTGGGCCGGTCAGACGCCAGTCAGGGCCAGGAAAGGTCAGGGCTGATCAGGTTCCCGAGAGTGCCAGCCTTGGTCTTGGTCCCATTCCCGTGTCTGGGAGTGAGGAGGTCCCGCCCCTTAAATCCACCAGGGACACAGCTGGCATCCACAGGGACTTTGACTGACCAGCCCGGCTGAAGGTGGTGGGGGTGGCATCAGCCCCCTGGGGGGTTTGGATCTGTGCCTGTCCCCAGGCCCCACCACAGAGGGGGCCCCCTGAGGCGCAGAGGCCAAGGCCTGCCTCCATGCTCCGCTCCCTCCCACTGGCTTGCCAGTCCCACAGGGGCACAGAAGTGGGGACAGGCCGAGTTCTGGGAACCCCCCAAGCTGCCCGAGGTCCTGGGATAGTCCTGGCTCACTGTGACAGGATGCCAGGCACGGAGTCCCCACAGAGCCTGGGGCCGGAGGCGAGGGCCGCCCCCCAGAGGCCAGGCTGGGCCGTGTCTCAGGGACCTGCCCTCCCCAGGGGGACTTCCAAACTGGGCCACAGCCCAGTGGATGGAGCCGCACCCATGCCCGACGGCCCCTTGACACAGCTCTCCTTGGGCCTGCAGATGGCAGCCGGGCCAGAGCCTAGGGAGGCCAGGTATAGTGTCCCCACCTGCGGCCTGGAGGAGGCCAGACCAGGGTCTCTGGGACGGTCACCCAGGCCTCTGTGGGTTGGCGTTGGGCTGGCTCACGCTCGGGGAGTGGACTGTGGCCTGCCGCCTGGGCCTGGCAACTGGCAGGGGTCACCTGATGCCCACTGGTCAGCAGTGGCCTGCGCCAGTCCTCGTGTTTGCCCGACAAAGGCGGGGTGTGCTCACAGGCACTTCATGCCTACGTGTGTGTCCTCAGCCAGTGGACATTGGCTCTGGGCACTCAGCAGGGTGGGGGGCAGGGTGCCCGGGCTCATCTGGCGCTCCGCCTGGCGGGCAGGACTCGGCGCTGGGGGAATGTATGGGTTACGGGGACAGCGTCTGCAGGAAGGCCGTCCCTGGACTGTGCTGCACACCCTCCCCCGAGGACCTGTTTCCCCGTCTGTCTGTGGGACCACAACCCCCAGGCTGCCCCTCTTTCGAGGGCCAAGGTGATTGCGGGTGTCTGCGGAGAACCTCTCCGAGGGGACTCACTCCGTGTGCCCAAAGGAGGGCGGAGCAAGGATAGGGTCTCCGAGAGGGCGCAGTGACCCCCACACCAGGGCCTGTCAGTCACGCGGGCCTGTCTAAATTCCCGGCCGTCCCACGCCTCCCGACGGCCAGACTCGGGGTCTGCTGTGGGGATTCCGAGGGCCCGGGCCGAGCCCCCTCCCCACGCCTCGCCGGTGTTGGCTCCCTTCATGCACCTCCCCACCCATGGCCCTCTGAACAGCGCAGCCAGCTCCATCCTGAGCCCCCGGGCCCGGCCCCACCTGCTCACCCAATCACCGGACACCCCCCCTCAGCTCCCAGGCCCCTGCCACATCCCTGTCACTTGCCAAGCATCTGGAAGTACCAGGGCTGCGCGGCTGCCACTGGCCAGGAGACGCCTGGGGGAGCAGCAGGCCCGCCCTCAGGAGTCGAGCTGTGGGACACAGCAGGGCCACAGGAGGCACAGCTGGACAGCGGTGGCCACAGGAGTCTGAGACGGCAGGCCCACCACACACAGCCCCCGCCCTGGGCAGTGGCATTGGGGGCAGGCCCGGAGAGCCTTCCCGCGTGCACTTCATGAGCAGGATGTCCCGGTGGGACCCCTGGCGGAATTGGCCTCTGGCAGGGCCGGGTTTCCAGCTGGAGCAGGTGGAGGTGGAGTGGGGGTGAGGGGAGGCTGTGGCTCTAGCCCCACCTAGTTTAGTGACCCAGGGAGCAAGGTCCAGGAGGGAGCGCCCTGGCCCGGGGCCTGCTGGCGTCTTCCTGTCACTGTCCCCTGCCCCTCTAGGCTGTCCCAGGGGAGTTGCTAGGAGGCTGTAAACCTGCACAGGCAGCGTGAGGGGCAGATGCTCTGGTGGGTGGGGAAGGAGGCCGGGAGGCGAGGCCCCTCATAGCCTGCACTTGTCACCTCCTCTGCCAGGCGGGGAGGACCGCAGGGGACAGCAAGGAGGCAGCTCCTTGGATAAGCCTGTCTGCAGGAGACTCAGGCAGGCAGCTGAGGCCCAGCTGGGCTCCAGGGTCCTGGGGACAGAGCAGGCACAAGGGGCAGGTCCATGGTGCTGGGCACCGCCCCACCCCTGGACCCTGTGTGCTGGCCCTGGGGGCCCAAGAGGGGCCAGCGGGAGGGGCCAGAGACCCATGCCCTGGGGCCTGCAGTGCCCTCCAGTGGTGGGAAAGTGGGCCTGCACTCCAGCCAGCCCTCTGTGGACTTTCCCAGGGCTCCCTGTACCCTCCCAGCCCCAGCCCACTGTATGCACAAGTTCCCAAAAGAGGGGAGCCTGTGGCCTGGGCATCCCCCAAAACAGAAGTGGCCTCGAAATTGTCTTTTCCTTTTTATTCATACATGGGAGGCACGGGCCCAAAGGGAAGAGCCCCTGCTGAGGAGGCAAGGCTGTCTGGGGCCCCACTGGCCCATGGTGGCACCTGTCCACCACTGCAGAGCTCGGGCTGTGTGGCGTGCAGCAGTGGGGGGCTGGGTTTGTGCTTCCGGAAGGTTTGGGCCCCCTCATTCCTGCATCGTAGGCCCCCAGAGGGCTTCTGAGTGTGTTCCGGCCTCAGGGGCCTGAACTGAGACACCTTGGGGCGTTGACATGTGCCCACGAGACAGTCCAGGCCTTGCCCAGCCCCCGCACCTCGCCAAGGAGCAGGGCACTCGCCCAGCACACCCCAGACTCACAGCGGCGGACCACTAACCAGACTCCCCAAGTCTAAGGTGGGCCATGTGTCCCACATCCTGGGGACAGAACTGCCACCCCAAGCAGCCCAGCGGCATCTCCTGAGCGCCTGCTGTTAGCCCTGCCTGGAGTGTGGCCGGGCAGGCCCTCCCAGGGCGCTCCTGGACACTCAGCTGGCTCTGTGTTCCCAGGGGGGCAACAACGCCGGGCACACGGTGGTGGTGGACGGCAAGGAGTACGACTTCCACCTGCTGCCCAGCGGCATCATCAACAGCCAGGCTGTGTCCTTCATCGGTGAGTGCCCGCCGCCCCGCCTGCGACACTGTCCAGCCCAGGGCCCGCTGTGCGGGGCGGGCCCTCCACGTCTGCGCCCAGGCACGCCTGTGGAGCGGCGTGCTTGGCAGGGCCTCGCCGGCCTCAGGGCCTCGCCGGCCGCAGGCCGAGCCTGCCAGCCCCCGTGTGGGCACCTGATGTGGGAGCCTGTCCTCAGCCTCATGGGACAAGTGGGGGGTTGGGCGGGACACCCATCCAGCCTGGGCCCTAGGGGGAGAGGGCGCAGGGGCCTCTACTGAGCTCCCAGACTCCCTGAGGGTGCTGAGCAAGCCCACAGTGTGTACGTGAGTGAACGTGTTGTGTGGGGGGCGAGTGTGTATGTGTGCAAGTCCGTATGTGTGTGAGTGTGTGCGCACGTACGTGCGAGGCTGCAACGGGCCGGGCCTGGCTTCCTGCTGCGTGGACGGAGCCCAGCCTGTGGGGACGCTGTGCCTCCCTCTGCCCCCAGCCCTGCCACCTCGTCCTCCCTGCAGCCCCAGTGACTCTGGGTGCTCCTAAAAGACAAAGCCACCTCCAGGACTGCGAGGCCCTCCCTCCCTCCCTCCCTCCCTCCCTCTCTCTCTGTGACAAAGGCCTCCCCCGCTCAGAGACATGTTCCCAGGTCCCCGGGCCTGGCCCGTGGGACGTGCTCTCAGAGCTTCCAGTACTTTTCCTTCTGGCTCTTTCCATGACTGAGCCTCACTCGTGACTCATCTGCGCCTGCCCCTCCCTGGTAAGGA